AATACTAACTAATAAAACACCAGTTGGATACCATATCATACCTATTTTTATACTTAAGATAAACTCTTCTTAATCTGGATAACGTAAATCAAAGCATATATAAAACATACTTTATTATAAATATATTTATTTGATACAACTCAATATCTAATATTGAAAATAATTTTTCGGATCGGATGATAATTATTATTATAAATTATGATATATTATTTTGAGGAAAAAAATATGCAGCTACGTATTCAATATATTTTCAGACATGGCGTACAATATATACATACTTTACAGTCATTATTGAATACATTACAGCATACCCATGTATTTTTTTACAACTCCTTAGGGAGTCTCTTTTCTTAAAATTAATCACGTAACTTTAAAGTAAATTTAAATTGATTAGAATTTTCATGACTATATCAATATAACTTATATATTTTTTACAGTAAAACTTTTTTAACAAGCAGATTTTTTTTTTTTTTTATTCTAAAAATGTAGTTTAATGGTAAATTATACCTATAACGAATTTCAATGTTATGATTAGTAATAGGTTTAAAAAATTACCATTTTTTTTTTTAGTAAACAAACGTACGTTATTAAATTTTTAACATTTTTTACCTCTAAAGTAAGCTACTCCAACACCGTGTACTATACATGATACGATGCATGATATTAACGGTATCAAGAAGTCAACAAACGTTATCATTCATATCATCGAGTGTGTGCGCGCGCGCCGGTCCATTTGTGTGCGTATATCTCATAAATAAAAAGTTTCTTACTGAATATGGATTAGTCTAGACAGTTGTGTATACACGTTGGTCACGCATGATGCATATGTATTGTGTGTGTGTGTATATATATATTATATATGTATGTGTGTGTGTACGTCCAACAAAGCTGTGACGATCGCTGTGTGTTTTTCCGATGATGTACCGACCTCGTTTACGCCCCCGCCGTACGTTATTTCAACGACTCAATCTTATTCGTGGTAAAGCTTAACACCGAGTCATGTAAAGCAACTGTCGCAAATAAACGACAATAAACCATCACTTCCCGCAGTACAAAAGCCCACTACGGATATCACTACTCTATACGGTCTATGCCGAGACATTTTTCTACCCGCGAAAGGGTTAATTTATAATAAACTCTTACGGGATGACGTGACTCCGCAGACATTATAATATGACGAAAACTTTCATGAAACATTGTAGTTAATATGGATAGACGTTAAAGTTGTTCACGTTGATGGATTATTACAATAATTATAAGCATACATAACATATTAATACTGCATATAACGGTGTAATCAATATATGGGTATGCGAGTATCGCAGTGATATTATCCATGCAACGATGGTATATTATCATGCAAATACACACATTATTACGACTTTAAATTAAATTGTTAATTAAGAGACTGTGTAAAGCAATAATTTGTTATCATGATCTGTTTTCTTTAAGACAATTTTTGGAAGTAGTATCAGAATAATCAACAAATAACTTATGCTACTATATTATATACATAATATGTAAATATTATCTTTTATGAATAGTATAAATAAAAAACATTGAACGACATGATTTAATTAAGTTATTAAAATACTAATTCATTAAATTATAGTGTTAAGCGATACAAAATATAATTATTATAGTTAAATTGTAACCAAACACATGACGTAGAATGAATAGGTAATTTATTTATTTCAAGTATGCTTTTTGTATCAAATGGATAATACAAATAATATTAAGTAACGCTTATTTTTTACTATGTATAATATTTTCATAATAGTTCATCATTTCAATGATAGTAATTGATCCGAATTACGTATAAATTATAGAAATATTCATAAAATTGATACAATAACGGATTGCAATATTATCAAACATTTATCATAAATTGATATCTATGTTCTCTAAAGCCGTTAGACTATGTGATAGTTAACAACCGACGAAGTATTATTGCGTTTAAGTAATAAACTTTATCAGTAGATTAGCAAATTGTAAATGAGTCGCTAACATACATTCATCGAATCAAACTGACAGTGAATTGGAGGATTTTCGTAATCGAATAAACCACTGGAGATTATCGTACGAGTCTTATCATTCGGACGCGATAAAATGTCCATAATATTTATTTGTGTAATTGATACTGATTCTTCTCGTATTAATTTATTAGTATGACTACATAACAATATAACTACTATAAGTTTATAATCGTTCTTCAATTAACAAAAGGTGTAGTATTCGATTAATGTATTAATCAGTATTGTGTGTATCTAATACAACGATGTCCTCACGCTGGACGTGCATTACGTCCGATTTTACTTTTAATGTTTTATGCGAAACATATTGAATTTCAATAATACAAAATAATATACTGATTAGTATACTTGAAACATGAGACTATAAAGTTAATAGAATAATCGCCTTAAAATTATTTTTCAACAACCAATTAAAATACTACCTACACCTAATACCAAACTAAATAATAAATTCAAAAGAAATAATCTATAACTGTTTTTGCTAATGAGATATTTAACATTTTATATACTTATTATATTTTCATAGACGTACTGCAATGAATAGTATCGATTATATAAAATAGAATATTTCCAAGCCAGATTTAAATGATACCATAATGACAATAAAACAAAAAAATAAAAATAAATAAAATGAGATTATTCACTAAAAATTGGTATGGTAAAACCAAATCTGACATACTTTTAAGCTGACACCTTATTAGTCTTACCTATAAATACTCAACCAGTACGGCTTGGATCTTTTTTATCGTATCCCTATAATATGTATAGAATATATCTTAATTATTAAACGATGCACTAAATGTTCTAACAATCCGACAGCTGTATTTTTCATATTAAAATAAGTACGCAAATTATTCAAGAATATTTAATTTGTGAGTTAACTCTTATGAAAATCAATACTAATAATTGAATTAATAGTTTGACATCATTTCAAGAAATCTATAACTAAGTGAGATCAAAACTTTTTAATCATTCATACGATACTAAATTTTAATTCACTTATTGTAGTATAATTAGTATACATTTAAAATCTATATTATGATGGTAAATTTATTTTAGAAATAATAGTGTTTAAAAATGTAATCTATATAAATTATTTGTTGGACCATTAATTGTAAAATATAATGTCAGAAACATGACTAAATGAACTGAACACAGTACATTTTCATTATACTGTTTCAATCTAAAATAAGCAAATATCAAATATGTTCAAAAACAATAACTTTGTGACATTTAAACTTTTATTATGAGTTTAAAAGAGCTAGTATTTCAAAATATAATACATGTACAATCAATACATTTTGTAGGTATCTATTTTACCTAACTTAACCTATGTCCTTTACAAGCATAAAATATACTTAAAATGTTGTATTTTCCAAATATAATAATGGAATAAAAAGGTTTAAAATTGGTTCAGAGCTTAAGAAGATATTAAGTATTTACATTATTTTGAGCAATAACGTTTTGGATAAATGTATAAAGTATATTCATTTCGAAAAATAAAAATATTTTAAATTATAGTAAGTTGCATATATTATATATATATATATAAACTAACCAAACCAAACATGAAATATAATATATAAATCATATAGATGTATAGTATATTGGTTTGATTTATTCTTTAAGTTGAAAAAAAATACTTTTATACACTTGAAAATATAGATTTTAATTTTATAATAAACGATATACATAATTATTATTACTATCATATGATATAAATGTATAATTATAAGATGTTCATATTTGCTCTATTGAAAACAATATTTTTAGGAATCGATTATTTATAAAAACAACTCTTTAAATTGCTTTATAATAATTAAACGGTAGATTAATAAACAATTTTAATCCGAGTATTAAAAATTCTAGTGGAAAATCAGTATGTTTTTATGAAACGAAAATATTTAAAATGATGGATATAAACAATTAATATTTCACTTAAATAAAATACATGTTATCAATAAAATTAACCACAAAAAATTAAAACAAATTTAAATTTTTCATGAAGCATTTTACTGAAATATTTCTCTATTTTTGCACAATAACAATATATTTTAATGTAATTATCCAAACATTCATTTCAAGATTTTAAGATTTTCTTATTTTTTAAATATTATATATGCATGAGTGTAAGTTACTTTTCTTCTGACATCCATCTGAATCTAATCTGCGTTGTTTGTTTTTAATTTTTTTAGATCGAATATCCAAAGAATAACTCTCACAAACAGAGATATATTGAACAAACAAAAAAAATACAAATGTGTATTTTATATTGATAAAGTATACAAAAACATACATATGCAATGTACTATATGTATTTGGAATTTATAAAATTCAAAAATAATTTAAATAAATTACAATTTTTTGTTAAAAAATCTATGAAAAAAAAAAAATCTGTGAACAGTTACACGTAGTTGTATTTATTTCAATTTATAGGTATTATGCATTTCCAAATATTATTTATTATGATTCTGATTTGATATCTGACTATTTAATTTTACTTTTTATGTTTTATACAGCATCTGTTATTATTTGCGATAATATTCTTTTCATTTACAACAATATTATTATTACTAAAAATTTTAATTTAATATGTATTTTCAAATTTTATTTTATTTTAGCCTTTACATTTTTATTTGATATTTATTTCTTTATCATATTGTTATATTAATAGTTTTGTTAAAATTTTAATTATTTTTTTTTTTTAATATACATTTTTTTAAGCATGCGAACTTTTTTTAAATGATTTGGTATTGTAAAAATTAAATTAATCATATTTTAAATAAAATTCAATCAAATACCACAAGTTATATTATTGTATACATTATAAAAACCATTCCAATACAATAATAAAGACAATATTAACCTTATAAAATATTTGCCTTATTATACTTTGTTTATATGTCCCAGTAGTTACAAAACAGTTAGTTAAAATGTAGAAGTTAAAACTTTTAGAATAACACATACCTCGCATTTTGGATATCGTTCAGGCACCCTCTTGACCTTCCAGCCAAGCAGAGGTGGTATGCAAATGACGCCACTGAATATCCACACGAAACCAATCATGACCATTGCCCGGGCTGGTGTGCGTTTCTTCAAATAGTCAACGGCCTGCGTAATGGACCAGTACCTGTCTAGAGCTATCAAACACAAGTTCATGATAGATGCGGTGCATAGGAGTACGTCAAGTGCGGCATGTATGTCACACCACCAATCTCCAAATATCCAATAGCCCATCAATTCGTTAGCCAACGAAAATGGCATGACAATTATACCCAGGAAGAAGTCAGCCACAGCCAAACTAGCGATGAACCAGTTTTGCACGTTTTTCAGTGCTTTCTCTGTCACGATAGCAATGATGACTAGCATATTGCCCACAACAACGACGATCATGAGCATGATTACCACGACTGAGGCAACAACTATTTCCGGTATCGAGTACGTCGACGGGTAAACAGACTCAAAAATGTAATACGTTCGGTTAGGGTCCATTGTGACATTGGTATCGTTTAGGTAACCTGTGTCGTTCTGGTCTACCAGGAGCCCGAACTCGTTCTGGTCGATTTTGAATACCATGCCCGACAGACTGGATAAGTTTTCGGCTACGTCTAGTGATTCCATTGTGGTACTCGTGGCAGTGGATCAATCCAAGCAAACAGAAAGTAAATATGGCCGTCGAAGGCGTAGGTAAAGGGAGAGGATGACGATAGTTATTAGGTATTCACTGAGGACATCACCAGTTGATAGACCAAGTTGTCGACGGTGGTCTGTCGCCAATAGTCAAATTTCCTCCACGTCTGCTGGCCTGCCGGGGGTCTCTTTCTCCGGAAATCCTTCCACCAAACAAAACTCATGACCCGTTCGCGTTTTCAAATCTGGATAGTCTCTAGAAAACAGAATAACAGACAAAATAAATTCACATGAAACATATTTTATTATAACTAGGTGATACGAGTAAAGCCTTTTGCTAACCCTCTCGGCTTTTGCGACAGGAAAACGTGGCTTAAACCACGGCATTAAGTTCACGTCACGTTTCTCTCCTAACGCCTAATGGCTAACGAGAATATTTAAATAGATTACCAAACCTTGGAAACAATTCTGGTGTACAGGCGCAGTATGTTATTCCACTAAGCGAATCAACTAAATTCTACCGCTTGTTGGGTAAACTTATAATCAATTATAATTTGATACTTTATAATTGAAATGTTATCTCTACTAACACGGAATCTTTGTGTTATTCTTTTTTTTGCATACCTTCAATTGTCAATATACTTTATCCTATGTAAATATTTTATCTAATATTATTATAATTCAAATTTAACTATTTACATTATTTTTCAAAAATATTTACAAATATTTGCAAAACAATCATTTAGACGTTTGTATTACTTTACAAATAATTCTTCATAACTATTAATATTGATTCATTAAAAACAAAGTTTTATATAATCGCATTAAAATAATTAAACAAAAAACTATTAAGTAACAGTACCTACGTTAGATTAGTTTAGAAACGCATGCGTAGTCTCTCTATAATGTCTGATATAAATTAATTAAAAATATCTATTTCACGTGTAGATAAATTTACAGACACACGTGAAATAAAAATTCACATATACAGTATTATAATCACGTGAATCAGTGAATTTAATTTTATGAGAATCTGTGAATTTTTTTATTAAGTTATACATTTGTTATTATATGTGGCATTTTATTTTCAATACATTTAGTATCTTATAATGTTTTTGTAGTTTTTAAATAACGTTGATTAGTGATTAATTATTTATGTTGAATCAGAACCTCCAAAAGAAACTAATATTTTAGAATGTAGTTTTTTTAAACAGTTATCTATTATAGAATTTATTTACATTTTAGATACATTTAAAAACAACTAAAAAAATATTGAAATTGAATCACAAAAAAACAATTTCATAAATATATCTTCAACAGTTTTTTAATAACATAAAAATTGATAAAACTGAAAACATGTTTTTAATTTTATTTATTTTTAAACTTTGGACAAAAAGTACAATAATTTTAGCACATAAATAATTTAATAAAATATATAATAGATGATGTATTTTAATAAATTCTATCAAAGAAACAAAAATGTATATGTGTGTTTTATAAATTACAATAAGAATATAATACATATAAGTAGGTATTATAAGTTACATGAAATTAAATAACAATTTTTCATAAAAAAAAAAAAAAAAAAAGTAAACGTAATCATTTTTATTCTAATAGTTTTTTTTTTTTTTTTTTTTTGATACAGGAAAAAATTCAACTTATTAACATTTTACTGGAACAAATAGCTTCTTTTTGATGTAACTATATTACCCACTGTAGCAAAACATCTTTTCGAACTCACTGATGTTGCCAGTATCATCAATTTCTTTAATGTCAACTTAGCTATAGCTGAATATAATATATGTTCACGTGTTTTTCGCCATTCGAATGGATCAAAGTCAAATCTTAATTTAGTTTCTGATAGGTAACCTTGAAATTGATCAATTATGTCGTTCTCAGTAAAATGTTCATTACAATATGAAAAATTGAGATTGTTATTACCGATAGATTTATGATATTAAGACTGTTTCTGATGAACAACAATGTATTTTAATAAACTTTTAACATAAGAACACATTTCTTATTTAACATTAATCAATTCATGTTCCAAATTTTTATACCTAGGATAAAAACAATTGAAATATAGCATACAAAAATTGTTTGAGTAATTTAAAATTGAAAATCGAATCGTTTTATTAATTCAAATATGACAGTATTACTAAAGTAAAAATATCAAAATGTCTATTGAATACCATTCATTTTCTGTAATCTCTTATTTCGGTGTAATTATACTTTTATCGGTGAATGCAGATAATATTATGGGTGCATATATTTATAAAAAAAATAATTCAAATCGAATCCAACAGTATTTTACAATATTGAAAGAATAAACTTTTTGTGAAATCAGATTGTTCTTATTTTTACGTAGTTTGTTCATTTCTATACTTGAATATTTGAAATTTCCAACTTATAATTTTGAATTAATTCAGTTATGATATCTGCTTTTAACGTATTATTGATACTAAGTTGTAACGAATGAGCTGTAAATGTACTACTACAAACTTCAAGAATATAACTTAATGATGTAATGGCATTCACAATATTTTTAGCATTATCTGTACTACTGACATTACTTTTTTATCTATTTCTCGTTCGCTGAAAATATTTCCTAGTTGACGGGTAAAATTTTCCGCTATGTGTTTCTCATGTAACTCATATGTAATAAGTGTAAATTATATTGGGCACCATTTCGTATTAATAATATATGCATTTATAGTTGTATATTATGTTTGTTGTAGTTATGATGACCGACAACCAGAAATAGGTACACGTCGCTTTAAGTTTCATATAATAAATAATAACTATTTATATTAATGTAGAAAATATGCCTTTACCGGCAAATTATTTAAAGATATTAATTTATTTTAACATTTTTAAATGTTACTACTTACATATCAACATCAAAACGTTATTAAGTTTTTACAATATGCATGTATAAATTAAATATTAGATTTAAAATAAAATTTTAGTATAACTATACTTAAATGTCAGATCTATTGTTTCAATTCAGTATACTTCTTCTATGTTATGTAAAGATTTAAAAATTATAATAATTTCAAGCATAGCATTCTAAAACTAATCTAGATACTTAAATATGTTTTTAAATATTTGAATAATTATAATTATAGTCTAATTGCTCGCTGTTATTATTATTACAATATGCGTTTATTTCAATTTTAATTTAATGTAAAAGTCATAAAAAATGTTTTAATCAAATGAGGTGTTCATTAATTCATAAATATATACAATTACTTATAAATAGTCTTGCAACAAATAAATAATAATAATCAACATAAAAAATACAATTAAAACAAAGTATTGATATCGATTTAGTCAAAATTACGTAAAACGTACTCGTTTAAGATAAGTATCTGTGATTATCTTTCTAATAGTCTATATTTAAATTACATAAAAATATAAATTTAATTTAAATCCTTTCTTTAATTATAACATATTATAAAATACGCACCTTTGGATTTTATTATTTTCATGTTGGTTTGATGTATTATGAACGTTTTTTTTTTTTTCTTAACGAAGTACTAATCCAGTTGTTTCATCAACACATGAACATTTATTATTAGAATTTTTATCACACAAATCGCAGTAAGCATTTTATCTTACGCGTTTAACGTAATTTCAAACCTAACTTTTAACCTTAGACGTTGTTATTCGTTAGAAAGAAAGTTTATATTTTAATGCCGACAGTACAGATTTTCCGAAAATGTCACACCGAGACTTCAATAAATAACGAAAAATCAAAAAAAAAAAACAAACTAGATAAACCGTAGCTGATCGGTTCATACTGTTCGTAGAAATTTCCATGCCGCTGTTGTGTACATAGTATATACATTGCTCCTCCCATTCTGCTTTTTTACGATAATACTATTTATGAAATATTTATTTTTAGAATAGTAAGTACAGATATTTTTAGTTTTTTTATTGAAAGTATTAAAATTTAAAACGTTTAGTAAATGTTATGTTTTAAATACACATGAAATAAATATCCGTGGTTTACTAATTAATTACACATGAATAATTAAATTCATGAAATACGCGTAAACAAGAAGCACGTGATTACGTGAATCTTAATTTACGTTTAAATTCAATATCTTTAAAATGAACACAAAATTCAATGATTTTATTATTTATTATTAATTATTCACTATAACATATTATAAATTATATTTACTGACATATTCTGTCTTCATTACAACCCGAAACACACAAATTGATAACAACACAAAACAATACTATAATCTCACGTGAGATATTAATTATATTAAATACACCTATACCTACTGCGTATCCATGTATAAATTACATCACATTTTGAGTAATTTTCCACAGGCTTATAATATGTTGAATGAAACAACGGTCTGGCCATATAATTATTTTAATAGGGCACTCAACAACATTTCTGTTTGTGAGTAAGTGCGTCATTAGACGATGAAATCATAAACTGGAATTTGATATTCAACCAAGCCCAACACGTGAATATTAAATTACATTTCAACTCTTTAACAATGGGAAGTAACAGAGTATGGTGCGCAAATATTTTTAATAGTCATTTATACTTGGACACAATAAAAACAAAACTAAATTCAACTGATTTCATTAACAAATGAGTTAAGTCTGAAATTAATCATAATGCTATGGTTTCCAAAAGAGTTATGTTACAACCGTACTGGTTATGTGTTTTAATCGTAGGTAGTATTGATATTTAATTCAAAATTGTTGAACAAATATTTCTAATAAGTAAATTGTAAATTGTTAAAAAAAAAAAAAATGTTGAATATAACGTAAAAAAATCAAAATTTATTATCAAAAAAAAAAAAAAAAAAAAAAATGGTTTAATTCAACTGCGATTTGAAACAGTATATCATTAGATAAAAAAAGAAAAATTCAAGTTAAGGAATGTACTTATTTGTGTATTTGTTTTAAATTGAAAATGTCAATGATTACAATTATGGTAATGTATTGAGGGACTCAATTGTATTATGACGATAAATTACACTTACACAATGATAAAAATGTATTTACACAAAAATTCAATAACAAATAATATGATTGGATATTGAAGTTTAACGTAAATAGTTATGAATTCATATCATAAATTTGTAAATGTTTTAAATTTAAAAATACTTATACAATTATTATATTATTACATTTCAATTCGATAGCATTAATATTTATGCGTAAAAATGTAATTACTTTTACGGGTGTTGATTAAAATCAATCTGGATCAAACACTTTTAT